CCCCCCCCCCCCCGGGACTTTTATATGGCAGGTTCATAGATCTAGAGCCACAGGAGTCTGAGAAACGACTCTTCTCCGGAACCTTGATACATGCATAACACCTTACTAATCCTTGCAACATGGAACGACCTTGGGAAACGACCGAGAAACTGTCAAATGTTGGAAAAAAGGGATTCCATTACTTTGCAAAATTAAATACGCATGGTTTGTTCGTTGCCACTCTATCGATAGGTATACTTAATAGATATATTTTTGCGTATGTTACCTCATTATTTTTACTTTCCTTCTTTTACCATATATGAAAGGTATGAAGCCAATAAGAGCCTCCCTTCCTTCAATGGTTCCTAATTTCACTGGCCGACAGAGCGAGGTTGAAGAGATCATTGGACACGTAACTTCCGAATCTACCCGACTGGTGTCGATCTGGGGTTCACCTGGGTTCGGAAAAACATCAGTTGCAATTGCAGTGGGACACGCGCTCCAGTCTCAAGGGCTACCTGTCTATTGGGTCTCATTACGGGGACTTCAGTCAAAAGCAGATCTGACTTCAAAGTTTCTATGCCTTCTAAGGCAACCAACCATCAACAATCAACCGTCCGATCGGGGTCTGTCCCTTGACGATGAAATTTGCCAACTATTCAGCGAAATATCAAAACAGTCTGTATTCATCCTTGATAATGCCGATGATTTGTTAGAAAGTGGTTGCCCAAAAGTGAAGGAAGAGGTCATGCAACTTCTTGAAGAAATACTCAGGCAAAACCCAAGGCTGACATGCATTGTAACCACGAGAGAGTCTCTTGAGTTTATGGACATTCATTTTCAAGGCCATCAAGGCTTAAGAATAAGAACATTAGATAAAGCCTCTACACAATGCCTAATTCATGAGTTACTTCCAAATGCGAGCCCTGCGGATTGCACAGAAGTCGCGCATATCTGCGGGCAAGTTCCTTTGGCCATAAAAATAATGTGTTCTTTGATATCTGAAGATAATGCTTTACCACGCCATTTTCTAGATGATTTCAAGGCGTCCTCTACAGAAAGTATCGTGAGCATGTTGGACAATCACGATTACCCGGCAAGCCATCGATTACAGTTCATTTTTGACTCCTCTTTCCAGAGACTTACTGCACAAGAACAAGAAGCACTAATTTCTTTGAGCATTCTCCCTGGGAACTTCACTACTGAGGTCGCTGCGGCCGTTTTAGGCACCAAAAGTGGTTTTCAAACCAAAAGAATGTTACAAAATTTTCGGAGGAAGTCACTGATTGATTCAGGCTCTAAATCGGGCACTTTCACGATGCACAAACTGTTGCAATCATTTTCGAAAGAGAAAGGAGACGCTGAGATGAACAAGACGATTCTCAATGCAAAGGAATGTTTGAATGCATTCTATGTCTCGCACTTTGATAAACTAAATGAACAATTTCTCACCGGGCACTCCATGGATGCATATATTGCATTTTATGAGGATAAGGAAAGCATTATTCAAAGCATAGTAGAAGGATGTTTTAACTCCAAAACAGCCGACACTGTCTTTGAAATTTTGGTCAAGGGGGAGTTGTTTCTTGACTCACTTTTTTGGACAGCGAGTGAAAGTAAAAACTTTGATGACATATACGATGCCGCCATAAAAGCAGCCAACCTGCATGGAAACGAAAAATACCACAGGCAGCTACTTACTTCCAAAGCTTTCGCTGAAGCAACCTGGGGAAGTAGAGGAAAGACGAATCAGCTTCTCTCTGAAGTGAAAGTTATGCAAGCAGCATCTTGCCTTGTTTCTAATCAGGAAAAAGGCAAATCCTTCTGCTATTTAGGAATCTGTTATCTTACTGCAGAAGAAACGAAGAGTGGAGTCCACTGCCTACAGCAAGCGTTTTCATCACTGGAGACTTGCAACGACCAGGAGTCGTTATTTCTAAAGTTTCTTATTCTTCAGATCCTCGTCTGTTATTATCAGTCCCTAAATGACTTCTACAATGCACGTTACTACTATGACAAATCACTACATCTGTCCTCTGCAGTAGGAGATTGCAAGCTGCTTATTATTCCGCCGATGAAAAGCAAAGCACAAAAAACTACAAATGAAATGCAGTTTAAAATGGACTCAACCATTTTGCTGAATCAACCTTTCGAATTCCAATTTGTCTGTCTCTTAAGTGAAGCTACAAAGGTTTTCGCTGACACTAAAACCAAACAAAATACAAGCCATATCCTTCTTCAAATGTTAGAGTGTGTCGAAAAAGATCTTACACCTTCCACGGGTTTGCTAACTTTTCACACAGCTGTGGTAAAGCTGCTCTGGAGTTCGAATAGTGAAGACCCTGAAAAACTATTTTGGTCAAGAATAAATTATCATGAAAAAACACTCAAGCAATGCAAAGAAACTTTCCCCAAAAGTCACAGACTTTTTCAAATACAAATTAAAGCGCTTGTGGACTGCTACTTAAACTTGTGTACAGTTTACAACAACAGAGGAATCTATTCGGAAGCTCTTCAGTCATACAACCGAGCGCTAAGCACAGCAACAAAGTACTGTGGAGAAGAACATGAAAGCACAGCTGACAGCTACAGGCAACTTGGTGTAACACAACGCAACATGCACGACGACAGAGCAGCTCTACAATCTCACCAGCGCGCATTGGCTATCCGTATTAAACTATTTGGAGAGGAACATGAAAGCACTGCTGACAGCTACAGGCAACTCGGTACAACACAAAACAAAATGCATGACGACAGCGCAGCTCTACAATCTCACCAGCGCGCATTGGGTATTCGTATTAAACTATTTGGAGAGGAACATGAAAGCACTGCTGACAGCTACGGGGAACTCGGTGTAACACAACACAACATGCGTGACTACAACGCAGCTCTACAATCTTACCAGCGCGCATTGGCTATCCGTATTAAACTATTTGGAGAGGAACATGAAAGCACTGCTGACAGCTACAGGCAACTCGGTGTAACACAATGCAACATGCATGACTACAGCGCAGCTTTACAATCTCACCAGCGCGCATTGGCTATCCGTATTAAACTATTTGGAGAGGAACACGAAAGCACTGCTGACAGCTACAGGGAACTCGGTGTAACACAATACAACATGCATGACTACAGCGCAGCTCTACAATCTGAGCAGGATGCATTAGCTATCCGTATTAAACTATTTGGAGAGGAACATGAAAGCACTGCTGACAGCTACAGGCAACTCGGTGTAACACAATACAACATGCATGACTACTGCGCTGCTCTAGAATCTCACCAGCGGGCATTAGCTATCCGTCTTAAACTGTTTGGGGAAGAACACGCAAAAACCGCTGATAGCTACAGGCAAGTCAAGATCACTCAAGACGCCCAACGAAAGTTTAGAGCAGTGAAAAGAACAAAGCGAAAAGTACAAAAATATGAATAGAACATTTTAAAGTTAAGTGATTCTTCATGTCTTAAAGAATGATGGGTGGGTGGGGGGTAGTGCATTAGCCAAGTCAAAGCTACACTTTGCCCCAGCCCTGTCAGTAAATCGATACTCTATGTGCCAGAGGCTTTTCATGCGCGGTTTTTGGTTTCGGTAACGCTCGTGTCTTCGGCTAGACTGCAAAACAGTCGGTTTTTTTCTTAAAATCAGTAAAGAAATCGGTAAAGCGTGGCATAAGAGTCTTGCGTGCATGAAGCGCGCGAGCCGTAGCGTCTCTCCCCAGTCTCGCTCTCTGTTTTCAGCCTCGTTCCAGACCTTTTGTTTGACTGCTCGCGCGCACTTGAATAGGCGAAAATACGGACTTTTTTGCAGTCTAGTCCTCGGCCTGCGGTCGACAAAGCTCCTCGCCGCACGCGAGGAAAAACGTCTCGTACCCAGGGTACCTTATCGAGTAAAACTTTAAAATAACCGCTCAAACACAATTAGAAGAAGGTATAAATGACACAAAAAATACAAAAGGAAGCAGGGATTGATAAACTTGAAGAAGATTGAAACGGTTTTTTATTGTGGTTTTGGAAAACTTGTTGACCTAACAGTTTTTCAATGTTCCTTTTTGTTGTTTGTAACGATGATGTGTTGGAGACATGAAGCTGTGATTTTGTCTTTCAAAGGTAATTTCTCAAGTTTCATAGCGTAACTGTCATTAGCCCGGGACCAGGCTCTGCAGTGGGAGAAAAAGGCAAAAAACGGGGTCAAATAGGAAAAATATCGGCGAAGGAAATGAGCCGAGCGGTGGCCTGGGGAGGGGGAAAGGGCGGCGCCACATTTCCCCCCCCCCCTCAGACTGCCTCTCGGCTCGCTTCGCTCGCCAATTTTTTTCTCCTTTTTCCCCACTGCGGAGCCTGGTCCCAGGCTAAACTGGCATCGATAAACAAAATGACCTCCCCAGCAGTGACACTGCCCCTTAAAATAGACATTGAGAAATAGTAGAGCTCAAAGCCTGGGGCTCAAAGATTCATGTAATATAGATATTTATATACTATATAGACCTGTTCACGCCATGTAAGGGAATAATCCAGGACAGTCTTGGTTGTGGATTCCGGATTCCAGATACTGGATTCCAGTATTTTTCTTTAAAACTGTAGAATTCTGGATTCCGATCGTTATTGACATTCCAGATTCCTTGAGTTGTATTCCGGATTCCAAACCTCAGGATTCCGGATTCCATAAGCAAAATTTTCTGGGATTCCGGATTCCGCAACAGGGCTTAAAGTTTAAATTTGAGTTTGGGAGCACTTGTGCTGCTAGATGTAAATTTTTGGGCGTACTGCCGAAATTTTAGGTGCACAGCTGAAAATTTTAGGAGCACAGCTTATAATGTTGGGAGTATCTGTTTCAAAAGAAAAAGTAAAAAGCTTTTACGTGTTAAAACAATGCCACGTTTATATGTTATCTTCAGTTTGCTACTTTTATTTCAGTCCCGCGATTGATAAAACACAGCCGATTTGCCACGCAGTAATACCTTTGCGATTTTTAATACTAATTTTCCTTTTTGACAGTACAGTTGTGACTAAAGAAAACTTACACTTGAAAAAAAAAATTCAATACTGACAACAGTGAGTATGTCGAACGAGAATGAAAATTTATCTTTAATGAATTTTTTAAATGCGCAATGACTTACATGTAACTGGGATATGAGTTAAAAACTTTCTTACCTGAAAAAAAAAGGCTCTTACTCCGCACTGTTTTTGTTTTGATTGACTTAAAACTGAACGTTCGACATGATCGTTCAACGCGCAAAAAGCACGTGTTTCGTTGAGAGTATATTTGTACGTGCAGGAGCCGATGTGTCAGCGGCGTTTATTTACAAAAGAGAAAAGTCTGGGATGGAGTAAAACATCGAAACGAAAATGAACATTCGAGTTTGTGGAATCCATCGGGAGAAAAGACGAATTAAACATACACAGATGAAAGGAAAACAATGTAACTTATTAAAGCAATTTTCGTATGACCTTGAAATGAAAACGCGCGAACAAAACAGAAACAACAAACGAGTGGGAACAGCGATTTGATTGGTTTATAGAACGGATACAAACGCGCGTGGCTTTTGGTTGGTTAAGCGAACACTCGGGTGAAAAAACTTCATTCCCGAGAACTTTCTAGAAATTAACCGATACTTCGCTTTGACGTCATACTGCAACACGATTGGCCAATCGAACTATGCCTTCTCCATATTAGGGTTTCTTTGGCGGGAAAACGAAGAAGCCATGTTTTGATCTTTTCATCCATTGGCTGATAAATCAAATAACGAACACTTACCGAGGTCAAGGTCATACGAAAATCACTCTATCGTGAAAAGTACATGCGCAAGCGGCACAAAAGAGGAGACGCGTGAGCGAACTTCGCCGCTCGCTTGCGCGGCTTGTTTCACTCGCCCACTGATGGATAGCTTGTTCGAAGGGTGGCGAAACATTTGAATACTCCTCTGCCGTAAGTAAGCTAATTCACGAATTTTAGGTTTTACTTTAAAACCCTGACAAAAGATACATTGGAATCAAAGAAAAACAGAGAGATAACGGCTTAGTTGCATTTAAAGTTACTCTACTACGTTGAGTGTATGCCTGAAGCTTTAAGTAGATCGTTTTCACATGACGTCACGGCGGCCATGTTTGTGTACCAAAAAAATTCTGTGGGAATTGAACTGTTTTCACATGATAAAACTTTTTTTTATTCCAAGCAATTTGCAAAGCTGCCGACCACGTGACCAAAAACGATCTAAAAAGATAATTTAAAGACAAACAAATTTACCCAATAAAACTCATGTAATCTCCACAGTTGTACAGTTAACAGGCTCATTTCTCTAACTGCATATGTACCTGTGTTAAAATAAACCTACTTGCAAAAATTCTATGTCAAGCTGTTATATTTTTTTATAATTAACTATCGAATCATATCAATCTGTGGTGAAATTGATCAGCAGAGTTTTAATATCAGCGTGACACCCCTCTTTTTAAACTGCGAGAAATACAGTGGAATTCTGACGTTTAGAAACGTCATTTTACGCCCTTCCATGTTATGTATGTATGTATTTATTTGTTCATTTATTTATTTACAGATTTAGCATAATAAACAAGTAGGCTACTCAGACGTATTATACGTTTTAAAGAAGCAATAGCTCACTATTTAAGTCACCTACGAGTTTATCCCACCCGCAATTTATAATTTATAGGCAGCTGAGTAGAAATTCCATGGACTTGTTTGCCGTTCCTAGATAAACACTGCTCTTTTACCCTTTGTTTTCCGAGCTAATCCAACGCTGTGTTACTTGGAAGGTTGGAAATGTGGGGATTCCACTGTATAATAAATGCAATCTCTTGAGCAACAGTCAAGAAAATTGTTTGATGAACTCTTAGCTATAGGTACCACTACCGAAAAAGTTCTTTTAAAAATATCTAGTACTTCGTATAACTACTAACCCTTCCCCAATATAAACTACTGCTATAATTTCTTTAAAATCTCTGCTTTTGTTCACGTTTTTGCCATTTATTTACAAAGTAAAATAATCTCTAAGATATAGTTTTCAGTTTCGTGTAACTGTAATACTCTGTTACATGTTAAGTCTAAGAATAATGTCTAAAAGCCATTTTCAGAGCTGAATTACTTGGTTCTTTCTATCCAGAAGTATCAATAATATCCTAAATTATTCCTTGGAGTGCTGTGGCATGTTTAATCGCTTTCTGTGCAACGGTTTTTAGAGCTAATCATCAAGAATGTTGAGTGTGACATGAAGATAAAGCGGTTTTTGCGTCAACAGATTTAACCTCTTGCGGTGAAAGTCTGTTGGCTTCTGATACCTAAAAGAACAGGTTAATTCGGTTAGCTTTGTTAATTGAAAGCTAGCAGATTCAGTAAAATACGAGCGGTCCTTGACTACCTTCGGAGAAAGCCTTTTCCAGGGATTGAGATAGGGTGCAGTGCACAAAGAGAAGTTAGCAGAGTTGGGGCGGCGAGTGGGGGATTATGCGCCACTGTCCACAATCTAAACTTCTGGAACAGACTTTCTCAGGGATAATAGGATGCAGAAAGTACGCGAGCGCGGGGGAAAATCGCCGCGAGACACAGGAGACACAGCAAAAACAGGAAAGAGAGACACTCGTTGGCGAGACAGAGGAAGAAGAGAAAATGAAGGTCTCTCATTTCTCTCCTTCCACCGCGTGTAGCCTGTCATCGCGGGCAGCGAATCTCACGCGCGCTCGCGTATTTCGTGAGCCCTAATGAGGGGGTAGTCGTAGTACACGGAACCAGTAGACCTACAAAAAAATTAAAAACTTCGCCGTTTATAAACAAAGCCTGACTACTTACAGTTCTATGCAGGCGGGACCCGGCTTGAACTCATCTTGTTCCATGAATGCGAAACATCTCGTACTCACGATGTCTTTTTTGGGTTTGTAGTGCTTGAATTCGAAAAATATCGCTGTACCTTCGAACGAAAGACAGGATAAAACAAAAAAAAATTAATTATGAGGAAAAAAATTTTCTTACCTTTTCAAGGTCTCGAAAGAAAGACACGTTCGTTAGCCTGGAATTAGCCTGCGTAGAAGGCGCTGGTTAAGTATTGTGGTTAAGTTTTACGTTCTCCCTAGTGCGCGCGAGCGTCCACGAAATTTCTCTGTTCGCCCTTACAAAACCGGCGTCTGCTACGCAGGTTAACCTTAAATAGTTCCGTCGCAGCTTATTATCATTTTTACCTCTTGGAAGCTTTTCTATTGGTTTTTGAATCTCCACATCAAAACCAAAGTTGATATATTTTCCATCTTTTCTGTTTGACATGGGTGTATCTTGGGGCGGGGTCACATTAACACTGTTAGCGTCTGCAGGAATGAAAAAACCATGTAACAAGTCAGGCAGTCTCTCTTATTTCTGAGACGAGACGAGACTCCCTCGTTTCTGGTGTCTCACGGTGAACCTCCACTAAAAAGAAAGACTGCTCACGTAGT